AAGCATTGTCTTGCCTCTGTCCTTAAACAACCTGGGGGCTGGGGATAGTGCAGACACAGCTGTTGTTTTCAGAGCTATCAGGATCCTCAGGGGACACTTTCTCATCCCCTGGGGATGGTGGCTTTGAACACTGAGGCCTCCTTAATTCTGCCTTGGTTCCTTCCCAAGTGGCCACCATGCCCCCAGGGATGGTGGGAACAGTCCTTCCCTCCCTCCCTCCTCCCTCCTCCTACTAACAGGCTGGGTCTCATCCAAAGGGTGGATACTCTTTCACCCAAAGCAGAAATGGCATCCCCAAAGGTAAGTGTACCTCCTGCCCCACCCCACCTGGGGCCTGGGTAGCTGGTCTTGGCCAGAGACAGGGAGATGTACCAGATGACCCCAGGTGCCGCCCCAAGCCCTGCCTGTGCGGGCCAAGATGGGGGGTGCCCAAGTGTGCAGGTATGTGCAGGGAGTGGGTAAAGCACCCCCGAGGGCCTCCCGAACTGTCAGCAACCCCGGGGCAAGTGCCAGGGAGAGACAGAGGAAAGGGAGACTCTATCCTGATCCCCATCTGGGGGAGACTCTGATGTGATGGAGGAGACATGGTCTCTGCTCTTGGAGACATGATCCTGGAATAGGGAAGCATGACTTCCTTATTCGAGGAGCTGCCAGTCAGAGAGAAGAGGCAATGTCTCACACTCCATGGACTTTAAGCAATGATGGAGGAGACATGACACCCACCCTCAATGAGCCTCCAGTCAGATGGAGGAGACAGTCAGTTCACCTTGGGGAGACTTTGTATTCTGATGGGAGAGATGTGGTCTTAAGGAGACATGGTCCTTTTTTTTTTTTTTTTTTTTTTTTTTTTTTTTTTTTTTTTTTTTTTTTTTTTTTTTGAGAATTCCTAGTCTGATGGGGGAGACATAGTTCCCACCTTTGGGTTACTCCCAATCTGATGGGGGAGTAAAGCCTCCCCCTACTTTCTAGGAATTTCCAGTCTGATGGGGTAGACATACCCCCATCCAGCTTCTGGGGTCCCCAGCCTGATTGGAGAGACCCAGCCCAATAATCTGGAATTTCGAATCTGATGGAAGAGACATGGCCTCCCACCCTCTGGAATCTTTCAATTTGATAAGAAACTATGGCCCCCACATCCTGAGGTCTCTTGGTTTGACAAGAGATACAACCTGGGGTACACAATTCCCAACTATCTGAGGGGGAGACAGGGCCCCCATGTTCTGAGAATTTCCAGTCTGATAGGGGAGATATGCCCCCCCCCCATATTCTAGAATTTCCAATCTGATAGGGGAGACATGGCCCCTATATTTTGGGAATTTCCAATCTGATGGAGGAGACATGGTTTGACTCTCTAGGGTCTTCTAGTTAAGCGGGATAGATATCCCCCCGAGGGCTGGAAATTCTTAGTCTAAGGTGGGAGAGACGGCCCCCACCCTTGGGGTCCCCCAATCTCCTGAGGGAAGACAGAGCTCCCTGGCAGGCATTGTCGGGACACAAAACCCACCTCCACGGCCACACAAGTCAGCTCCTTCCTCTGTCTCCTTCCCCGGGGGCCCCGCACGGGGCGGCACCAGTCAGGTGCGGGGGAGGCAGGGGCGCGGGGGTGGGAGGGGGACGCCACGCCAGGTGCAGGCCCGGTGACCCAGCCCCCCGCCCCCCCCACTCTCTCTTCAGCGGCAGCGGTCGCCATGACGATTGTGCCCGTGCCCACCAGGCCGATGGAGGGCCAGGATGTGACGCTGACCGTCCAGGGCTACCCCAAGGACCTGCTGGTCTACGCCTGGTACCGCGGGCCTGCCTCGGAGCCCGGCCGGCTGCTCAGCCAACTGCCGTCGGGCAACTGGATCGCAGGCCCCGCGCACACAGGCCGGGAGGTGGGCTTCGCCAACTGCTCACTGCTGGTGCAGAAGCTGAACCTCACGGATGCCGGCCGCTACACCCTCAAGACCGTCACGTTGCAGGGCAAGACCGAGACCCTGGAAGTGGAGCTGCAGGTGGCCCGTGAGTGTGTCAGAGCGGGGCAGAGGGTGTATCTTTTCAGACAGACGCTCCCAAAGCGGGGCTTTGTCTCCTCCAGGGCGGGGAGGGAAGCACAGACGAAGGGTGGATCGGCGTCCCCAACAGACTTGAAAGAAGGGGCTCCCTCTCCTCCCTCTGACTTGGGGGATCTCCACATGGAGTTTTTGGCCTCTTCTGTCAAACCGACAGCCTAGACTAGGGGTAGATAGGCCTCCTGCATCGAACCGAAGGCTACCAAAGGGGGATTCCACGCCTCCTCTCTCATATAAGTACACCAGACTGAAGGGCTCAAGAAAGGAGGCACAGTCTGAGCGTAGGGCACCCTTTTTCCTGCAGGTGGGTAGACCTATTGCCTCCGCTACTTTATTGGGAAAGTGGGTTAATGATGGGAGTGTACCTCCCCTATCAGACTGGATGTATAGTACGAGGGTGGATCGTAACTCCCTCTTTAGACTGGGAGATCCTAGACAGTTGGCATCATGTCTCGGCCTCTGCATTAGGGTAAGAGTGAGGACAGAATTTCTACCATCAGAGGGGGACATTTTTCTCTCAAAGTGAAATAGGAAAAATCTCCTCCATTAGGATAGAGGCTTCTAAGTGATGGGAATTTTGTCTCCTCCCTCAGACTGGGAATTCCCAGTGGTCAGGAGCCATGTCTCTTCCATCAGTCTGGGAATTCCCAGATGTTGAAGACCGTGTCTTGCCCATCATAGTAGGGACTCCCAGAGTCAGGGACCATGTCTCCTCCATCAGACTGGGAGCTCCCAGAAACAGGTCTCCTCCATCAGACTGGAAGTTCTCGGAGTCAATGAACCATGTCTCCCACATCAGACTGGGAGCTCCCAGGGTTAAAGACCATGTCTCCTCCATCAGACTGGGAGCTCCCAGAAACAGGGACCAGGTCTCCTCCATCAGACTGGTAGTTCTCAGAGTCAATGAACCATGTCTCCCACATCAGACTGGGAGCTCCCAGAGTTAAAGACCATGTCTCCTCCATCAGACTGGGAGCTCCCAGAGTTAGGGACCATGTCTCCTCCATCAGACTGGGAGCTCCCAGAAACAG